CTGCGAGAAGCGCAAAGAGCAGGATTTGACAACGATAAAGATGTCGAAGAGGTTCCAGTTCCTAATCAGAGAAAAATTATGACGCATCAGGAAACCCAATGGAGTTTAAAAGTGCGATTCGTCTTACAATAAAGACCAAGAATGTAAAACCACAAAGAGTGGCTATGTTTGTTAGGAAATCAAATGATAACATGATAACTCTTGGAACCAATGTTCTGGAAAAGTTGAATCTAGTGCTGAAAGAACACAACAACACAGGGGATCAACAAAACCCTAGAAGAAGAGGTCACAATCAGCAAAGCCACCCGGGGCAAAACAACAAGCCTAATAGGCACAATCCTGAAGAGAAACGAGCTGTAGTGAGCCGTAGTAGCGAGCAAAATCAGAGGGCTTGTAAACACACGAAACAAAACCACGGCAAAATAAAAAAGGTCTCGGAGCGACCCTCCGCCGTAGGGGAGAGAGTGTGCGTGAGGATCCCCATAGGAAAAGCCTCGTCGACCCATCCTAAGCTAGTAAATGAGTGGAATGGACCATTCAAAGTCACTGGTGTCAGCGACGACAGCACCCTCGTCGTACCTATAGCGGATAACGCTGAGCCGCCAAAGGTGCATTTTAATCTGCTTAGAGAGTTGCCGGTAGGCATAGATAATGGACCAGTACAAACTGTCAGAGAGAGAAGAAAAAGAGACAGACCTAAAAAGAGTAGAGATATTTACTCTAAAACGGCGTGTTTCAGAATCGACGTTGGGCCGCCGAAGGAAGACCCATCGCGACTGTTCCATCCGGGCACGAAAAACATCCGTACCAAGGCTCAACCTGCCTTGCCCAGTTTACCTTCCGAAGTCGTTGAGGAGCTTACCGGACCCGCTAGAGGATTCGATGCACGTGTAGTCGATGAGTATGGAACGATCGACACGACGGTACCATTGGGACACCCTGCTACGAGCCTCGGAATCAGCCCAAGACGAGGTGATGATAGATTCCATCCATGGCAGTGTGAGGTTTTCCTGAAACAAGTCAGGAAATTCGCCATGAGCACACTGTCGTTACCAATATTTTTTCCAGCCAAGCGAGAC